GTTCGGCCAGGAGCCTCGAATGCTCCTGAAGACGGGCGCGCCAGTGATCCCATGGCCGCGCTTGCTGTGGCGTTTCAGGTAAGTCCTGCTCTTTTGCAGGTTCTTTTTTGCTACCCGTTTTCAGCCTGAAGGGCCGGATCGGGGACGGGTGCACGCTGCTTCCCAGATGTTGTGGTGTGATCGCGCCTGTTTGCTGCGCCCCCGATCCGTCCCTCTTCCGGGCCTAAACCTCCCGTGTGACCGGGGCCTTAGGCTGCATCCACACGGTGACCATTTTTGTGTTCCTTCTGTTGCCGCTGCTAACACATACAGCAGCCACTTCAGTCGTTTCCCCTGCACTTTTCTGGCCTCTAGCCCTCCATGGCTAGAGGGCTTTTAAAAAACAACTGACAGTTGACACATTGTCATGGTGTCTTTAAAGTGCTACTGAACGTGTGTGGAATGCCTTTCTTCACTAAGTTTCTTCCTCCTCCTCACTAAGTTACTCTGTCCCTTTGTCTGCCCTGCCTCTGTCTGTCACCAAAGAACAAACTGGGCATTGGTGAAGAACCTATGCCACTGAGTCTTGTCTGTTTTCCTCCTGTCTGCTGCTGAGAGGACATGGTGCAGTCATTTTGAACCAACGCCAGTTCAGTCATGGGGAGGAAAGGGAACACCCCCCCCGAAATGAATGACCTTTTTTAAAAATAGAAAGAAGGAAAAATAGCAGGTGGCACTTTTCTTGCCCCTAGCCCTCCAAGACTAGAGGGCTTTTAAAAACCAACTGACAGTTGACACATTGTCATGGTGCGGGTGGATTTTCCCTAATTAGCTCAGATGGCCAATATCAGTGAGCTTCATTCCGTTCCAAAGAAGTCCGGATCTGATTGTAATTCTCAAGCTTGTTTTATTTTCTGTTCGTGTTCTTTTTTTAAATAAATCAGAACCAGTAAGTCAACTTAGGCCCCTGCCACATGGGGGGGGAAAAGCACGGCCAAAGTGCGGCTTTTTAGAGCCCCACCAAAAGAGACACGCGGCAGTGGGATCAGACAGATCCCCTGAGCCACCACACAGTTGATGCCGGGGGGGGGGGGAAGCCAGGGAAGGGAGCA